GGAGGAATGAAAGTAGTCGGGGATAGCACTAAGGTTTCTTGCTTTTTGCTTGTTTGTTTCTCGTAATACTGCAATTTGTTTCCCAACCACGGAGGCAAGCAGCTAAGAGAAGCTCAGGCAAACTGACAGAGCCCTTGCGAGGGAGAGAATTATGTCTTGTTGCAAGTGCAGCCTGAGAAGCAGGGAGAAGGCAAGAGCAGCGTCATCACATACACACGCAGGAAGAAGAGACAGGCAGATGGCCAGGGGGCAGGCAAGCAGGGAGAGTAAACCGAGAGGATGAGAGTGAGAAAAGAGGCCGACTGCACCTATCAGGGAGGGAGAGGCAATGTAAGAGGGAGGCAGAGAAGAGAGTCTGAAGAAGCAGGCCGAAGGGAGGTACTTCACGACAAGCGCTTCCGCTTTCAGTTCTCCTCGCCACAGCCCACTCCTCTGCCTACGGGTCACTCGCTCTCAACTCCACCTTCGGACGAGTCCGTAGAGCCGAGTGGTCCGTATCCAGAGCTTGTGGGTTGCCTCAGGTACCTGATGACGTGCACTCGGCCTGGCCTCGCGTACCCTCTCAGCATCCTGGCGCTCTACGTTGCACCCGGGAGACACCGCCCTGAGCACTGGCGGACTGCTACGAGGGTGCTGCACTAGTTGGCCAATACATCAGGCGTGGGGCTTGTGCTTGGGGGACAAGGCTCGGTTGTGCTCACAGGGCAATCAGGCGCTTCGTGGGCCAACGACCATGCGACTTCCCGGTCTTCACAAGGATACACTTTCAGTCTCAGCACTGGCTCTGTCTTGTGGAGGTCCACTCGCTCGTCTTCTGTGCTTAGCTCCACCTGTGAGGCCGAGATCCACGTTGGGGCTATGGCTGCGCAGGAGTTACGCTAGCTGACATACTTGCTCACCAAAGAGGGTGAGCGGCCTCATTCTCCTCCAGTTCTGTACGTCGACAACAAGGCCATGATTGCCTTGTGTCGGGAGCAGAGACTGGAGCACAGAACGAAGCACATTGCACTTCGTTACTTTCTCATGCGAGAGTTACAGCAGCGTGGTCAGTTTCGCCTTTCTTATGTGGCCTCTCAGGCCAACACCGCTGATATCTTCACCAAGGCCCTTGGGTTTGGTGATCATGAGCGGTTCTGTACTGCTCTTGGTCTTGTGCCTACTCTGCCTCACTTGCTTACCTCTTGAGCTTGTCTTGCACTTGCTGTACTCTGCTATATATGTTTATACCAGCATGTTCACACTTGCTAGGTTGTGATCATGGTACTGCTATTGCTGTTATAACACTGCATGTGAACTGGCCTTGTGGCCGATTGTTTGTGCTCGGACTGTGTGGGGATCTTGAGATCCACCCTGAGCTTTGCTTTGCTTCCTCTCTTGACTGGTCTTGTGATCTCTTTGTGTTGCTAGCTACTTCTTGCTCTCCCCCACTTAGCCTATGGGGGTTTGTCAAGTGTTATAATTATGTTCTAGGCTATATTGGGGTACTCACTAGAGAGTATAACCCTTTTAGGGTTATATACTTGTATCCCAACTCATCCTAGTCAATTCATTCCGCTGCTTACCTTTCTGACAAAAATGTCCAAATTGCCAACTTACTTACCTGGCTGACACCCAATAATATGCAAACTCGAAACACATACTAACGCATTTCAGAAAAGGCAAACCTTCACATCACTAAAGGGTTATTCCTGCTCTACATATGGTTGAGGTTGGTGGGATGCTATAACATATGTTACATCATCACTACTCCATTGGTTAGCTCAGCTCGCTGGAGGTTGTGACCATGAGGAAACGCAGCAGCATAGATAGCTGAAAATATGTTGGCTTGTCCTATTATAACATGTCGTAAAGTAAAGTTGCTCGGCCGAAACCAAAATATTGTCATACCCGTACGGGTGCCAGTCTGCACAACGTACTGGCAGGAAGTCGGAGTGGGACCACGAGAAGACAAGCTGGGTGGGCCACCTTCACGTCCAGGGCTCCCTGGTCCTCCAGGTCCCCACTGCTGAGGCTGCTGCTCTACCTGCCGCTGCACCTGCTGCTGCGGCTGTCCCTGCTGCTGCTAATGTCCCTGCTGTGGCTGATGCTGCTGGGACTGCTGCCGCTGCTGTGCCGTGTACCAAGCAGCCGCTCCAGCACCCCCTCCCGTCGGGCTCGCAGGCCCAGCACCACCTCTAGTGCCACCTCCACCAGACGCACTAGTGCCACCAGTAGCTCCGCCAACCTCTCCACTACCACCAGCGCCACCACCCTTCCCCCCTTTCTTACCTCCCTTGCCCCTGGGCCGCCCACCCGTGGTGGACACGGCTGCAGTCTCGTCAGAAGCAGGAGACGCAGTATAGGCAAGCGAAGCAGTGAAGGTGGGGAGCTGTGGGACAGTACACCCCTAAAATAGCGGTGGAACTACGGTGCAAGAAGCGGAGGTAGCAGAGTGGATGTTGCTCTCGACGCCCTTGAGAGCTGCCTCAAGACGTTGATAGTGAGCATACTAGGGTGCTTCCGAAGAAGCGCGTCGCGTACAGATGCAAGGCGGTCAGGGAGGCTGGTGACTATGGAGTGAATAGTGATGGGCAAGGGCGGGGGGAGGAGTGCAAGCTCAGTCTCAGTACAAGCAGCACGGTAGCTGGTGTCGAGCGAGCTTAGGTGGGTGACAAGGTCAGCGTTGCAGCCAAACTCTCCTAGGTCGAGAAACATAATCGGCATGAAGAGGCGACCGAGAGAAGCAGAGGAGGGAGTAGAAAAACGGGTCGTAATTGCAGCGAACAAGGCCTTGGCAGATCGAACCTGGGTGAAGTGAGCCTCCTCAGACTCAGGGAGAAGACTGCCGAGTGCAATGCAAGTTGCCGCATCACGAGACTGCCACACCGACACAGTTATACGTGCCTTAGGGCGTGTGTCCTCGGGGTCGAACTTTGGCCAAAGTTCGAACTTTTAGAGCGGTTTTACACTGTAGAATACGTTTGAGAGACGTGTTTCAACGGTGCAAAGCGGTTAGAGTTCGAACTTTGACAATTTTCGCCAAAAGACACACCCTCTTATCGAAGCGCGTCTGGTCGGCCTCAGTAGGCTTAGCACACATGGCACCAGGGGGCGGAGGCTCAGGCAGGTCACCGAGGCGTGCGCCCAGAGCGTGTCACCATCCTGGCGCTGACTCTGGAGGAACCGCTCGGCACGGAGATGCTAGTTCTGGGGATGCTGGAGTTGGTGGTACTGGCACTGGAGGTGCTAGTACTGAGGGGGCTGGAGCTGAGGGTGTTGACACTGGAGGTACTAGTTTTGGGGGTGTTGGAGTTGGTGGTACTGGCACTGGAGGTGCTAGTACTGAGGGGGCTGGAGCTGAGGGTGTTGACACTGGAGGTACTAGTTTTGGGGGTGTTGGAGTTGATGGTACTGGCACTGGAGGTGCTAGTTCTGAGGGGGCTGGAGTTGGAGACATTACTCCTGCGACACATACTCCGCCTCCCCACCGCTACGACACGCGTCTCCAGGCTGCTCGTCGGCTCGAGCGCGAGGAGCAGGAGAGGTTGGCGCAGGAGACACTGGAGCTGGAGTAGCAGCAGCAGCAGGAGCTGTAGCGGCAGGAGCTGCAGCAGCAGCAGGAGCAGGAGCAGCAACAGCAGCAGCCGCAATGGCCCCAGCCGTCCCTTTTGCAGCAGCTGTTCCCACCTGTGAGTGGCCTTCGGGCCCTTGGTCTCCCTTCCTCCTCTCAGGACCACTCACCGCCTCCTACTGCTCTCTCTTGCTGTCCCTCACTTATGGGGGTGTGTCAAACTATGTGTGTTTGTGTTGTAGGCTGTAGTGAGGTACACTGTAGGGGGTATGATATTGTTAGGGTTTGTACTTGTATCCCAACCCTTTGCTAATCCAACCATGCCGCTGTCCTAACTTTGAGAGCTATGTACGAACCTTTGCCCCAGCCAAGTCCGTTGTGAGCAACCTCTGTAAGCTTTGTAGATCAGCTGGAACTATTGATACACTGGAATTGTTTTTTTGCACAACCTGTGTGTGCATGTAGGTGGTAAATCTGTTGTGCTGACATGCAGCACAGCACCACGAGTTATCACCTTACCCTTCCAACCTAGTGCATCAACCGTCAATTTGACGTAATAGTGTACCGGTAACAAGGTTTCCTATTTGCTAGAATTTAGAGCTCGTTATGCTGCTCTGCAGGCAAAGGTGGAGCCGGCACAGTCAACTCTGGTGGTAACAGTCCTTCTGACTCGTCTGAAGGGGCCTCTGCGGAATCTGATTCTGGCGAATGTGACTGCAAGAGAGACGAGCACCCCTGCTCGAGCCGATCGTAAACGTCATGCAGCAACTTCTTCTTGGCGATACGGTACTGTAGCACCAGCTCCCGTTCCATGAGCTACCCTCTTACAGCTGTGCGTGACAATGATACATAAGTTTCCACATCTCCCTAAGGTGCAACCTTATTGGCACACACACAGCTACTTGTATGAGCCAAGAAACTATGGCGGCAAATTATGAGCCTTTGTTCCAGCCAAGTTAATTGTAACACCCAATTTGAACAATGCAGAAAGTGTGGAGGATAGGCGAGCAGAATCTGTGCATGTTCAGGTGAGCAGCAGCAGCTGAGATATGGTAGCAGAGAATGTACGGGGCTACCCTCTTACAGCTGTGCGTGACAAAATATAATCCAGGTTTCCACATCTCCCATCAAGGTGCAAGTGCAACTTTTTGGCACACATGCAGATCCTCACGAAGTAATATGGCCTGGGGGCAATTCATGACTCATGAGCCTTTGCTCCAGCCCAGTCAATTGTGAACACCCTCTTTGAACGATGTAGACCAGCAGAAAGTGTGGAGTGGAGGATACACTGGTATCAAGTCTGCAGAATCTGTGCGTGTTCAGGTGGTAAATCTGTTGTGCGGAGATGTAGTACCATGTGGAAATCACCTTAACTCTTCCAACAACACTCAAACTAGTGCATGAACTGGCAATGTAACGTAACAGTGTAACACGGTATGCGTATTTCTAACTAGAGCTCGTCATGCTGCTCTGCAGGCAAAGGTGGAGATGGCACAGTCAATTCTGGTAACAATCCCTTCAACCCTTCTGATGCTGCCTCTGCGGAATCTGTTTCCGGAGACTCTGACTGCAAGAGAGACGAACAACCCTCTTCGAGCCGATCATACACGTCATGCAGCAACTTCTTCTTGGCGATACGGTACTGTAGCACCAGCTCCCGTTCCATGAGCGTCTTAACTACCTCCTCTGTGCACACCTCCTCCCCACCTTCCAATTCATCCCTCCCTTCCTCCTCCTCCCCTGCCTCGCCCTCTCCCACTTTATCTTTCTTCTCAATCTTTCCATCAACCCACCAGCATTTCTCCAGCTGCTTCAGGTGTCGCCGATCCTCATCAATAGGCGTGGACCAGCTCGCCAGGGCCTGCCGGACCTCATCCCGAACCAGATCAGCTCCAGCGAGGAGGCTCGTGAGTTCATGGTCGGTCAAGCCTATGGGTTGGGCCATGTCAGCGCACGTTCCACTGTAGACGTGCCAGCCGAACCAGACCGAGGCTTGGGCCAAACCAGCATAGTTGGGCTCTGATGGTGGTTGTGACAGCACGGTAGGGTGACAAAACCAAGGATTTGGGGAAAACGTGGAGAGGGGATGCTTAAAAGAGGGAACAGGAACCGGGAATGTGATAAGAAACCGGCAAGTGGCATCTGGTGGATAACGACAGGCATACCTAATGCCTCATGAATGCATACCCACACAAGCGGCATGCCTTCCGTGTATCCAAACATGTGCCATCACTCGAACCACGCACCTTCCCCGTAGCCAAACACGTGCCACAGCGAGGCGAGAAAGAGGAGCATTCGAGGGTCGACCTGCCCCCCTGCCCACACCGCATGCGCGCTGCCCTCCCCAAACACATCTGCTTTCGGCCCTGCTATCACCCCCACCTCCTCTTCTGCCTTCTCTTTCGCTGCCCTCACATCCTCTGTCGTCCTCCTTAAAAGGTACTCCGCCCATAGGTCGAACATGCCCTTTCTCCCCTCCTTTACAGTCACATTCGCATAGTGCTTGTAGTAAATTTCTGCGAGATCGGCTTCAGAGGAAGTGAGGGGGAACGAGTCGTGCGGGTTGTCGGACGGCACGAAGCCGTACGCTTGCAGGAACATGTCGGTGCTTTTTGTCCCGTAGCTGTTATACAGCTGGCTGCCAGCTGGCAGGGCGGCGTAGCTCCGGACGACGATCGTGTCGGTCTGCTCGTCCGTCTGTGAGTGCGAGTGAGTGGAAAGAGTGTGTGGAGGGAGGGCAAAGGGTGTGTTGATGGTGGGAAAGAGGGATGGCAGCACCAAAGAGAAACAGAAGAAGGGAAATAGTAAGAACAGCTCTGCATCAGACTCAAATGCCCACCCACCTGCCAGCCCATGGTGTTGGCGGCGTGGTGGTCGAACAGCTCTGCCAAGGGGAACAGCGCCGTCACGTACTGTGGCTCACTGGACCCGCCAGTGCCACCACTGCTGCTGCCGCTGCCACCATCGCTGCTGCTCTCACTGTCATCGCTGCTATTACTGTTGCTGTCGCTGCTGTTACCATAGCTGCAGCTGCTGCTGCCAGTGTTGTTGCCAGCAATGCTGCTGGCTGTTTTGCTGAAGGCACGGGAGGAGACGACAGCCACGGCCCACATGAACTCCTCCTGGCTTGCATTGCCGATGGCTGCCTTGTCACACCGCTCGTACTCCGACTTGAACGTCTCCCGGTAGGAGAAGGCCTGGAGGAGGGGAGGAGGGGGAAGGGGGGGGGGAGGGGAGAGGAAGAGCGAGGGATGTTTATGGTGTTGGAGAGAGTTGGCATTGCCAATAGCCTCCTTGTAACACCACTCGTACTCCGCCTTGAACGTCTCCCTGTAGGAAAATGCCTGGGGGGAAACGGGGGGAGGGCAGGGCGGGTGAAAAAAAGGGGAGGGAAGCAGAACTTACGAGAAGCAACTTAGCTGGACCCGCTAAAACACGCGGTCATCACGCTCCGGACTTATGTGTCAAGGATCATAAGTTACATCGTTTTGAGCTGACTCAAATGTGACCAACTCACTCACTCAGTGATTCACTCACTCACTCACATACTCACTCACTCACTCACACACTCACTCATTTACTCACTCACTCACTCATTCACTCACCACTCACTCACTCCCTCACCCACTTACTCATTAACTCTCACTCATTCACTCACTCACCCACCCACCAAACCACTCACTCACATGGTCGATCATGCTCTGAACTTCAAATTCCTGGATCAAATCGTTTGGAAAGAACACCGGCAGCGGCACATATTCAGGCAGCGACTGCACATACACGCCCCACTGCGACCCCTCACCACTCTCCACCTTCCTCTTCTCCCTCAGAATCCACGCAGCTAGGATGGAGAATGCCGTCCAGCCGGAGAGAGGGGAGGCGTCGGGAGTGAGCGGGTAGGGGTGGGGGAGAGTGATGGGCTGCTCTGGGGAGATGAAGGCGGAGGGCGGGAGGGAGAAGAGCGGCTCGCCTTCGACCAGATCGCGCGCTGCTACAACGGAGAGGCCTCGCCTAGGGGACAGGGTGGGGCAAGGAGTGGGGCAAGAGAGGTTCGTGTTGCAACGGAATCACACGCAGCGAGAACGGACTGACGGACCACGCTTGGGAACAAGGGGGATTGGAGGAGGGGCTCGACCTCTACTAGCTCGCGCGCTGCTACGACGGAGAGACCGCGCCTGGGGAAGCAGGTGAGGCAAGGGGTGAGGAAGGAGGGGAGTGAGGGAGCATGGGTGGGGGACAGTGATGGCCTGGTCGGGGGAGATGAAGGCGGAGGGGGAGAGGGAAAAGGGAGGTTGCCTTTTGACTAGATCGTGCGCGGCTACGACGGAGAGGCCACGCCTGGGGAAGGGGTCGGTCAAGGGGTGGGTGTGTGCGTGGAAGGAGGGGAGTGAGGGAGTAGAGAAACGAGGGGGTCGTCTTTGACGCATTCGTGTGCTGCTACGATGGAGATATCAAGCTTTAGGAAAAGGGAGGGGTATACAGATGTAGGCATGCGAGAAACTGAAGTAATATCGCTGTTTTGCATGCACTATTGTCTCACCTTCATTGTCGTTTCCTCCGCAAGATCTCACCTTGTACGCGACAACCCGCGGTTGCCACGTGGCTTCCCCACCACAATCTGACGGAGGACAAGGGGAAGGTGACGTAGGTGACGTTGCGATATTGGGAGGAAGGAGCATCATTTAGAGAAAAACGAAAAAAATATGCACAAAGGTCCAAATTCTCGCGATAATAACTTGAGGTAACAACATGATATATCCAGTACCTGCAGGGGGGAGTCTGGAGACAGCCCTGTGACTCCTCGTTCCACAAGCCAGTCCACCATGACGGAAGCAATGTGCTCCTCCGTCAAGGGTCCGTCAGAATGAACGGAATCTGTCCTACTTGGCTCTGTTCCGTCAGCATTGGACTGGAGCGGTGCGATCAGCAGCAATGTAAGCAGGAACTTCACAAATATCATCGTGATTGAGGAATATGTGACGATGCTTCGCGAGACACTGAAGCTAAATGATGATACGTCCGCTTGAAACAAAAGGCAGTCAGACAAATACGGTGTCGTCAGAGCAAAACCTCTCCAAGCAAAGCTGGTATAATCACCACACCAGAGTGTTCCTGGATTCAGTAAATCAGTAATAGTCTTTCCTGACAAATCAGTAATAGTAATGCCTGACGAATCATCAATAGTCTTGCCTGACAAATAAGCAATAGTCTTGCCTGACAAATCAGTAGTTGTCTTGCCTGACAAATCATTAGTAGTCTTGCCTGACAAGTAGTCTTGCCTGAAAAGATCTTTGCGGAGCGACAGGCGGATTTCCCAATCGGGAGCGGGAGAGGTGGCAGATCTCCAAAATGCTGGGCGCTCGGTTCATATCGCGTACATCACGACGGATCGGCATTGTAATTATGGCTTATGCGCTCAAGTAGTCCATTGAAAAACATTTATACAAATTTCTATCTGCCTTGATTCATTGAAATTCAAAACATCTATATTATCACCTCTCCATATTAATAATCGAACCGTGGAAAGACTTCGTATACTTATCAAATGATTCACACATTATGCTGCAGAATTTTGATAAGAGCTTCTTTTTAGATGGAGAAACGAATATATATCGTTTTACAAGGTTCATGTAAAAAGCAGATGATGTACCGTATGCAGTTTATCTCGACCCGAAATGAAGAAGTGGGAACGCTGATATTGGAGACGAAGCTGGTTGTGTTTTGGCTGCTTGACCTGGAACTAGGTTTATACCAGTAACTCTTCTTTTGGCGGATTTCAGGCATTTACTCACTAGCATAGATAGTTCTCTTCGATTCCTTGTGAGGGTTCAGAGCGATGTCGTGGCGACGCCGTCCGTTCGACGTCGAACCCTAGAGAGTTGATTCGAGTGTAAAACCAGTGCTTTAAAATATTGCTGCGGATAGAAGACGTGGTTGTTGTCGTCGTCGTCTTGATGCGCCATGGCGAACCGAACGGATCCAAGGGCGCGAACGGTTCACGGCACGAACCCGCAGAATCTGGTGGAGAAGATTCTGCGCGCCAAGATCTATCAGAACATCTACTGGAAGGAGCAGTGCTTCGGCCTCACAGGTGCGTGCTTTCTACTCCGATAGTTGTGTTAATTGTTTTTCTTATTGCTTGTTTCTTATTGCGTCGTCTTGAACAGTGATCTTCAAGTTCTTAGAAGCCGAATTTATAGGATTCTATGAACTATAATTTCTCCAGTAATGTTCCGCCGTTTCGGATCGCTATCTTGGATGTGTTGACCTCACATCCTCTCCTCTTCTCCCCACACAACCACACCCCCCCACCACCATCATCCCCCCGTCCCCTCCCCTCCCTCCCGCTACCTTTCGTGATTTCGCATTGCGAATTTTGGTGCCGTTTATTGCTCTCTGCTTTTGTGAACCCTAGTCGACGAAGCTATATGTGGTTTCTTCTTCCCTATTTCCCGCTAGTGTCCGTTGCATTTTTCGGGTGAATGTAATTTTGCTGGTTCCCCTGTTTTCGTCCCCGTTCTTGCAAGCAATTAAATCTCTGTAATTTCTTACTGATGTTTCTTTCCAAAACTTCGCCATGCTTCCGTTGTCTTCGCGGCAGCTGAAACCCTGGTCGACAAAGCTATGGATCTGGACCATTTCGGAGGAACCTTCGGAGGAAATCGCAAGCCTACCCCGTTCATGTGCCTCATTCTCAAGATGCTTCAGATTCAACCAGAGAAGGAGATTGTGGTCGAGTTTATAAAGAACTCAGATTACAAGTGAGTATGGGTTGCTTCATTTGTCAACGGTCACATTTGCCTGGTTTCCAAGGTTCTTCAGGTTAGGCGGAATTGGGGTTGCTGGTTGAGCTCATCAAGAAAAACGACGTCTTACCTTTGGTTCTAGAAATCCTTTATTCCGTAAATAGGAATTCTGCAACCTACATCGTCTCCTTGTCATCCCCCCTCCCCTCCTTCCCGCCTCCCCTCCTCAGGTACGTTCGGTTGCCGGGAGCGTTCTACCTGCGGCTGGTGGGGAAGCCCATGGACGTGTACCAGTACCTGGAGGCTGGAACCACTCAGCTCAGACTCACTCTTCCCATCTCCCAACTCACATCCCTGCATTCCCCCCTCCTTTCCGCCATGCGTCCCCCTTCTCTTCCCCCTTCTCCGCAGGTACGTTCGCCTGCTTGGAGCGTTCTACCTGCGGCTGGTGGGGAAGCCAATGGACGTGTACCAGTACCTGGAACCACTCAGCTCAGACTTACTCTTCCCAGCTCCCAACTCTCATCCCTTCCATTCCCCTCCTCTCTGCCATTCCCCCCTTCCGTTCTCCTCAGGTACGTTCGGTTGCTGGGAGCGTTCTACCTACGCCTGGTGGGCAAGCCAATGGACGTGTACCAGTACCTGGAGCCACTCAGGTTCACTTTCCCGTTTTCCCAACTCTCATCCCTGCCTTTCCCCCTACTTTCTGTCATGCGTCCCCTTTGTCTTCCCCGTTTTACCTCAGGTACGTGCGGTTGCTTGGAGCGTTTTACCTGCGGCTGGTGGGCAAGCCAATGGACGTGTACCAGTACCTGGAGCCACTGTACAACGACTATCGGAAAGTGCGGAGAAAACTGGAAAGCGGAAGTGAGTTCACTATTCACCTGCGTTCGCTCCTCTCGAGATTTTCCTTTGCCGCTTCCGCCATGAGTGGAGTGTTCCTACCTGCGCCAGCTGGTTGGGAAGCTGCTGTGTGAATGTATCGATCGTGGTTTCCGGCCTTTGTGCTGTCCGACGTGGACGAGTTCATTGAGGAGTTTCTCACTCTCGACTCCAGAAGTGACGTGGCATCACCTCACCTCTTTCCCCCACTCGTCCCCCCCACCCCCCTCTTCTCCCCCCTCCTTGCACCACCCCGAACCTCCAGTGTTTGTGTTGTCGCACGTGGGCGAGTTCATAGAAGAGCTTCTCACACTCGACTCCAGCTGCGACATTGCCTTGCCTCTCCCCTCCACTCCCCCCCCCACTCGTCCCCCCTTCTCCCCCCCCCCCCCCCCCTCCCGCCATGCTACCCCGCACCTCCAGTGTTTGTGTTGTCGCACGTGGACGAATTTATTGAGGAGCTTCTCACGCGCGACTCCAGCTGTAATATTGCTGCACACATATTCCCCCGGTTCCCCCCTGCCTTTCCGCCCAGTGTTTGTGTTGTCGCATGTCGACGAGTTCATAGAGGAGCTTCTCACGCTCGACTCCAGCTGCGACATCGCCTTGCCTCGCATACCCCGCAGGTGCACGGCTTGTTCTCTATTCGAGCCTTTCTCTCTTTATTTTGACTCGACTCCAGCTGCGACATCGCCTTGCCTCACATACCCCGCAGGTGAAAGGCTTGCTTCTAATTCCAGCCATCTTCTCTGTTGTCTATTATGTATGTGTATTGTTTTTGTACTTGGGACTTGCAGCACTTTAACGATCTGAAATTTGTGTTATCATTTATTTATGTAGGAATTCAAATTTGCTATACAGGCAGCAGTTTTACTATCTGGAGTTTTTTTTTTTTTTTTTTCCCCTCTCTTTTGCAGATGGACGTTGGAAGCAGCAGGCCAGTTGGAGTTGAGAAAGAGTGGGTTGGATTATGAGGAGATGGAGGAGGAAGAGGAAGAGGAGGAGGAGGAGCCAGAAACAGTTGCTGATAAGGTATGACCTGATAAGGTATGACCTGATAAGGTATGACCTGATAAGGTATGACCTGATAAGGTATGAGCTGGTCCTTTTTTGCTCTGTTTGAATGCACGGATGAATGCATGGGAGAAAATTCTTTTTCATAGTTCTTCCCTTCTTTTCAAACCCTGTTCTTTTCAAAATCCTCCCGTCTTTGTCCGCGCATACACGTGTGTCCAGGCTGAGGAGAAAGATCGGTATCGGGACAAAGGGGGGGACCGAGACAGGGACAGGGACAAAGAAAGAGATAGGGACAGGGACAGAGACAGAGACAGGGACAAGGATCGAGACTATTCCAGGTGTGTACCTCTTGATTCAGTATCCCACTGTACTCAGGTGCTTGTTTAGTTGATTTCAGGTACTTGTTGCTGCTTTCGTTCATCTGAGCGGTGTTTGGTACTTCTAGTATTGTGCCCACAATAAAATGCTGTTTGGTTTCTTTCGGCTCAGTAATTCGATAGGGAGAACAGCCGGCTGCGCATCTTCTGGGAAGCATCCTCTTGGGAAGCGTCCTGAAGCATGCTGCAGTTGTGCTTGCAAGGCGGCAAGAGCTCATCTTTTTTTAGGCAGACCCTTGAACGGCATCTTGTCGTTGCAACGCTGCCTTTCCCAGATGGCCCTCTCTCTCTTGTCCCCTTGTTCTTTCATGGACGAGGGTTGCCTTGGTGTTGTGTGTTCTCCCAAGAACGAACCTGTGCTTGTACTCGTTATGGAGTTTTTCGGAGCTCCTTAAGTGTGCATTCATGGGTATCAGTGCTTCCAGGTTTCCCAGTGCTGGCAGTGCTCTGAGAGAAGTATAAAGCGCTGAACATTATTGAGTGTTTTTTGGGGTGGTTCAGAGAGTAATAGGGATGAAAAGAATAGAATGAGGTGCGTTTTAGGTCAGGTGTCCATGCCAGCAATGACTCTCTTTTGTTGCCTCTGTGCTTCCAAATTTGCAGGGACCGGGATCGAGACAGGGACAGAGAAAGAGGCAGGGAGCGAGACAGAGACAGGGATAGGGACAGAGATAGGGACAGAGATAGGGAGAGGGACAGGGAGAGGGACAGGGACAGGGATAAGGATAGGGACAGGGACAGGGATAGGGACAGAGATTGGGCAAGAGACAGGGGTAGGGAGAGAGACAGAGACAGGGACAGGGATAGGGATGGGGGAAGAGACAGGAGCAGAGAGAGAGATAGGGGTAGGGACAGGGAGAGAGACAGGGATGGGGACAGGGACAGGGAGCGGGATAGAGACAGGGACAGGGATGGTGATTCGAGGAAACGTGATCGGCGAGATGAGACGGCTGATGAGACCAAGTAAGTTTGCAGTCCAGCGAGTTTACATCGTCAATTTCCCACACAGCACAACTATATATATTGTTGGCACAGTCGTTTTGCTCATATTCTTTTCGTTTTTAATGTGGCAGGGAGAAGAAGAGCAAGAAGAAAGAGAAGGCAGCAGATGGGACAGATCATGAGGATCCTGAAATTGCGGAAGCCAACAAGCTTCGTGCGAAACTTGGATTGAAGCCGCTTCGTGCTTGATTCGTTTTTGTTCAGAAATATATCCGTGTTGGCACATTGTTGTTTTGCTCAGAAATATATCCCTGTGAGAATGCACGGAGGTCCGACAAATTTTAACTAGCCGAACAGGACCATATACTTCCAGTTTTTTTTCAAATATGACTGTATCTTGAATCATCGTCAGTGTTACAATGAAATGAGTTGGTTCAATGAGATCGAGTCCTTTCCCTGTCAGTGGCTGCTGGTAGGGGTGCGCAGCGCTTCCCTCAACCCCGCCAGACACCAGTCGTGGAGGACTTGTTTTTGGTTCACAAACGCTTCTCTTTAGGTTCAGATGCCACTTCCTGTCAATCAGATTCAGCACACAAACGACGGTATCATCCAAGGTCACGATTTTGGGACGATTCTGGACGCTGTGAGGCAGAATGTCGTTAACGAACCTGCCGCCTTCCCTGAACGATATTTCGAACCAGCTTGGTAGAAGCTTCACCCAGTTGAAGTGAGTGGGTTGAGTGAGTGATTAGATAGTGCGCTCAGAACCTATGCAGAGTTTGACACTCTTTATGTGTTCCAGGACCACCTTCTCAAAGATTGACAAGTGCGAAGACCCTTCTCGACAAAGCCAGTTGCTGGACGATGTCACGCCAAAACTAAGAGAGTGCAGAAGGTGGATATGAAATTTCAGTCGTTGCGTCGAAGTGGCATTACTGAGCAAACGGATCTGGTTGCAGGTTGATTCAGGAATTTGAGCGTGACATGAAAGACCAAGAAGCCAAGAACTCACCGGAAGTGAACAAATTGCTACAGGAGAAGAAAAGGACCCTTGTGAAAGATCTGAATGCCTTCGTCACTCTCAAAAAAACGTTCGTACATTTTGGTATCATGCATGTCATTACGCTTCGTCTGATCATGATGTTGTTTTGCAGTTACCAAAGCGCTATTCAGGAAGGCCAGAAGGTGAAGCTGAGTGAAGATGGAAGAACAGCTGAAGTTGTGGGGGCTCCCAGGCTTGCATCGGGTGACACTTCTTTCTTTGTCCACGCATGAAGCTTTCATTTGACATCGCAACCGTATGGAGCATTCATTCCTGAATTCCCTGCAGCGATGACAAATGCTCAGCTGATGGAGGAGGGAAATCACGTCATGGGACAAATGGACCAATCTGTTTTAAGATCCAAGCAGGTTCTTTTTTTTATATAAACGCCTTCTTTGTAGAAGGTGATGCATGTTCTTATGATGTACTTTTCCTGTTTCAGGTAGTTGAGAACACTATCAACATCGGGGCAGCAACAGCTACGACTCTGAAGGGACAGGTATGGTACTGGAGATTCTACCTTATAGGTGCTGAGTTCTTATTCTTGTGTGACGGGTGCAGACGGAACAAATGGAGCGAATTGTTGATAAGCTGGATAATCTAGAATTCTCCCTTAAGCGGACAACCAAGCTTGTGAAGGCATTGGGCCGACAGGTGAGTCAGATGTTGGTGAGTGCTTTCTTCTTCCTACCATGCGACCTGCTTAACACAACCAATGGAGCAGATGGCAACCGATAAATGCATCTTGGCAATGCTGGCTTTTGTTATTCTTGGAGTGATTGCCATCATAATCGTCAAGGTGAGTTGGGCCTTTGCTCCAGTGACTGTCCCTGACATCTTCGCCTGAACTAAATTTCAACTGGTTGCAGATTGTAGACCCCCATAACAAGAAGCTAAGTGACTTTGGTCCCCAGGCTCCTCCAGCTTCAAACTGAATTATGTCTTACAATGTTGTTCAAATATATTGTCATCATTGAGCAGAAACAATCACTATATTACAAACAACGGATGCTACTATTCCCCATTAACACCCCGTACCTTGCCATCCACAATATGTGGTTACTCCATACATTCTCCCTCATCACCCCCTTGGACGGCACCTCACAAGCAATCACATTCACGAGGAATGATCAGATAGAACGACTACAAAGCATAGTAAATGGTCTCTTGCTGCCCGTTCACAGTCAGGGTGAAGATTGCTGCCAGGTTATCACCCGACATGGTAGCTCCCACAAGCGCAGCCATAAACTTCTGCAGTCCCAAGACGCCGGCAGTGGTTGCAGCTCCCGCGGGAATTTTCACGTCGACAGTCTTGGAGCAAGTGAACACGCCCTTGATGTTCGAGGCGAAGGGGCATGCGAGGGCGAGAGGAAAACGGTGGAAATCGGCCTACGGTGAAGAATGAAGCTACGGCGTGAGAAGCGGGAGAGAAATCAGGAAGAAACTAGAGAAATGGAGAGAGAAGAGTGGAGAAGCATCGAGAATGAGATTGACGGGGAGAAATTGTGGTTCGAGCTGGAGGCGTGTTCGAGAAGGTGCTGGAATCGGACTCGAGGAGTGTTCGGTGCATTCGGTTCGGTTCCGTGTGCGACTCGGGGTGAAACGAGGCGCACGCGGTTACTTGGGAAACAAGTGAAGTTACGAATCGCATTTTGTGTCTTGCTTGACCATAAAACTGCTTGTACTCATTCTGGAAATCACAACATTGGACAACATTGAAACCAATCAGATTCTGAAAATTGCTGAAGTGTGTATTGACAACTTCAAGCAGAGCTGCGCATATCGTTGGATTCGTGAGATCGTGGAGAACACGATAAGCAATAGCAAGTAGACTATTGCCGACTAAGGTGTTTACGATCCTAAGAACTGGTATCAGAGCTTGACGAACGGGCTCGTCGATCGTCGCGAATTCACTTGGTGCGCTAAGTGAAATTAGTGGAGAAGAGGAGTCGTTCACGCCTACGCCATGGGAGACGAGGCGAGTTCGGGTTCCAGTGTGAGTCTTGGAGACCCGCAGTTGAAGGCTCTTCTCGAGGCCCTTGCGAGTGGCCGATTGGTGGCGAAACCGACGATCGGGCTCAGTGAAGCCCAGCGCTTCAACGGGAGCAACTACAACGTGTGGCGGAAGAAGTTCATTCGAAGGGCAGAGGAGGTGGACCTCTTGCCGTACTACCGCCCCGATGAGGAGACGATGGAGGGAGTTGCGCCATCCCCGACGGACACGAAGGAGAAAACAGCGGCGTTCAAAAAACAAAGTAAGCAAGCGTTCTTTCAGCTTTGTCACTCAGTTGCCGATGGAATCGCGGTGGATTTGGACCAGTTTGCAGGGGAGCTGAACTCTGCACAGAAAGCATGGGAGTACCTGGAGTCCACGTACATGGGCACCAACGATGTCAACAAGAAGGCGATCAGGAAGCAGCTGCTGATGCTGAGCATGGAGAAAGGCGAGAAAATCATCACCTACATCAACAGGGCGAAAAGCTACAACGACGATTTGCGGGTGATGGGAGCCGCGGAGACGGAGCATGAGATGATTGACTATATCATCCAAGGCCTTCCTAAGGAGTGGGAATCCGACATCGGTATGTTTGCGTACCAACCGCCGGAGAGTTTGACGAAGCTGCAGGAGATTCTACAGTCGCTTGAGACGATGAAGGAGATGAGGAAAAAGAAAGCGGCAGCAGCAGCTAAGGAATTCGACGAGGAAAGGCCGGCTATGGTGAATGCAATGAAGGCGTTTGGAGCGTGCTACCAGTGTGGAAAGAGGGGGCATAAGGCGATAAACTGCTACGAAAATCCGCGAAGCAGGAACTTCAAAGGCAAAGCGGTGGAGAACGACAAAAATGGAGGAAACAGGGGAGCGAAGTGGCAGCAGAAACGAGGTTTTGGTGGCAAGTGCGACTATTGTGGGCGCTATGGACATCGTGCCGCAGAGTGCTACTCCAATCCGAACAGCAGGAGCTACAAGGGTCCGTCGCAGCAGAGGAATGTGGCGGCAAAGGCGAATGTAGCAGAAGCGAACGAGGATGATGTGATCCTTGGAGGAGCGCATCGTGCGAACGTGGTGCGTTTATCAAAGGAGGTTCGGCAGACGGACGATCATGAGAAGACGGCATGGTTCATGGACAGCGGATGCACGCGTCACATGACATTCAGGTCAGATTGGATGGAGAACGTGAGGGAGTCGAATGAGGATTATATACTGCAAGGTAACAGTGGGAAGTTGCCAGTGACAGGAGAGGGTGACGTGGTGCTGCAGAGTCCGTATGGAGAGATGAGACTGGAGAATGTGCTGCTGGTTGAGGATTTGAAGGTGAATTTGGTCAGTCGGTCACAGCTTGATGACTTGGGGTGCAAGATATTTTATGACAGTGGAAAGGTGACTGTGTTTGGTCCTGAGTGGGAGAAGTATGCCGATGGCTACTTCAGTGACGGGTTCTATGAGATGAACTTGGTCGCGATGAATGATATGGATGAGATCTATGAGGACCATGAGTATGGTGAGATGGGAGAATTCGAGGAGTTATCGGTTGAGGATGATGAGAGTGAGGACTCGGATGATACGGCAGCGAGTGTGGAGGCAGCAGTGAAGCTGAAAGAGGAGATAGTCGCCATGGAGGCAGCAGCAGTGAATGGTGGAGATGGAGTTGGTGTCAACACTTTTGCAGCAGCGATCGTGGTTGAAGATGAAGCAGTAAATGCGAAGTGTGTGGGAGTCGCTGTGAAAGGGGACATCATGGTGAAGGGATCAACGGCGAATGCAACTGCAAAGGGGCGAGTGCTTATGAAAGAGGAACACGTTGAGGGGTACAAGACCCGAGAGGTGTTGGGTGCTAAGATTCCGAGGAGAAGCGAGAGGCTTAAGAAGATGCCTCATGGTTTGGATATCAAGGCGCTCAACTTCAAGACACGTAAGCAGAGGTTCAAGGTGCAGGAGCTGCAGGGGAGCGTGAAGCCGACTTAGACCCTATGAAGGCTACAAGGAGCAGAGGAGGAGTGCGAGTGGAGTTCGTGGTTGACGAACCACAGGGGAGATTGTTAGGGCTGGTTCGACGAACCACGGAACCTACGGCGAAATGCGGAATGACGGCGGAATGGATCTCGTGGGAGATTCTAGATCTAAAACGGTGGAAATCGGCCTACGGTGAAGAATGGAAGCTACGGCGTGAGAAGCGGGAGAGAAATCAGGAAGAAACTAGAGAAATGGAGAGAGAAGAGTGGAGAAGCATCGAGAATGAGATTGACGGGGAGAAATTGTGGTTCGAGCTGGAGGCGTGTTCGAGAAGGTGCTGGAATCGGACTCGAGGAGTGTTCGGTGCATTCGGTTCGGTTCCGTGTGCGACTCGGGGTGAAACGAGGCGCACGCGGTTACTTGGGAAACAAGTGAAGTTACGAATCGCATTTTGTGTCTTGCTTGACCATAAAACTGCTTGTACTCATTCTGGAAATCACAACATTGGACAACATTGAAACCAATCAGATTCTGAAAATTGCTGAAGTGTGTATTGACAACTTCAAGCAGAGCTGCGCACATCGTTGGATTCGTGAGATCGTGGAGAACACGATAAGCAATAGCAAGTAGACTATTGCCGACTAAGGTGTTTACGATCCTAAGAACAACAGGTAGAGCAGATGAGGAGAATATCGGAAGCTGTGTTGAGTGTAACGCATCTGGTAAACATCATGTGTGCCGCCAGAGTGACCTTGGTGTCGCTGCATGCTGGGAAATCGCACAAGCGGAACAAGGGAGAAAGAACATCTGTTGATTTGTTTGTTTTTTTGTTTTTTTCCGGAATCATGTAATTAGTCTTCTCCTCTGATCTCCTCTGCCATCCCTTTCAATCCCCTCAGATGCAGCCTCTCCTGGCTTGGCTCTCGCTGTTACCCCTCTCATCGCGATTGCTGTTCCAAAATTACAAACTCACGTGCTGGTGGCGATCCGGATCTTGGCTCCCCCTGCGACGGCGCCGGAGAACATGGCTTGGAATCGGCCGCCTGACATGGATGGCAGCACTGCAAGGCCTGGCACGTAGGAAGGGCGCAGTGGGATGGGCGCAACGGGAGAAGCGGAATGGGGAAGATGCAAGAGGAGCGGTGCATCAGGAGGATTGCAGCGGGAGCGGTGCAATGCACAGAGTCCGCAGCAGCGGAGCATAACTCGTCCTGCGTGTCCTCATCATAACGAATGGATGGAAGAAGAACACCGTGACGGCCTGCGTTGCCACATTCAGAACCAGTGCATCCGTGCGTACCAGTATCAAGAGCACCGATCTTAGCCAGCGATCCTGACGCGGTCACCGCATTGCCGTTCACATCCGCGTGCGACACTTCGGCCCCAGCACCAGTCAAGGTGCTCCCTAGAGCAGTGGTCGTCCAGTCGAGACTCCTAGTCAGGTCCCACACTCCCGGCGCGACCAGCTTCCACTGACTGGCGTCCGACGCCAGAGAGGTGCCGTCCAGTGAGACGTCCGTTGGCGGGTCGGCGCTTCCCGCCATGATCACGCGGAGGACAACCGGGAATAGGCCCGTGCTGCGGTGATTGAAGCGCGAGGGAGCAGGGAGGGCAAGAAGGGGGGGTAATGAAAACACGGGTGGAATGGGGGTTCAGACGTTAGCAGCAACCGGGTGGAATGGGGGAACGCGAGAAGCATGCAACTCGTCATGATGCTGACGGGTGGAATGGGGGAAAGCGAGAATTACTTGGGAGGCATTTGCACGATCACGGTCCCCTGCGATTCGTACGACGCCACCACCAGAGCACTGTAGAATGCTGCAAAGAGTCGGAGTGGGAACGGGAGAAGGAGCAAATTAGCCGCTAAGACCGCGCTGTTGAGACCGCGCTGGGCTCCGAATGGTAACGCAAACTGAGCGTGACGCTGGTCAAAGCGCTGACGCGTATGGCCTTACATGATTTCGATGAGGTTGCGGGAACGAATTTCTTGATATCCGCATCCGCGACCTCGAACGCCGCTGAAGTCATGGTGACAGGCGCCGCGCAGAGGAGAAGCACGAGTCCTGCGGAAATCAAGTGTATCGTGTATGGATTATTCTTTAGCGTGAATCTTTGTGAAATAAAAAGCGCAGAAGATTTGATTTATTTCGGAATAGGGTAGCTGTAATGAAGGGGCCATCTGAGATTGCGCCTTGAAGATTCTTACCTGGAAGGCACATAAGGCAAGATACGAGCCATTGCGGAAATGCGAGGCGGGCCATGACGACACGTTTGAGTGAAATGCCGCAAACGGACAGTGGAGGTGGCAAGAATTAGCAGAAGAAGCTCGGTCTGGTCTGGAAGAAAACTGGGTAGGAACTGATGAATGCTCTGAAATATGTTGGGAGTTATGTACTGTCGAGTCGTCTGCGTGGGGAAGAAGGTATAAGATGGATGGGATAGAGGTGGATTAGCCTGTTGAGGAATATACGGAGGCTTACAGAAGGCTGATATGCGGTGCCGAAAGTTGACGATGGATAGAGATGGGCGGAGGTGGGGCGGTGGGATTGGATGAGGTTGGAATTTCAGGCACTGCATTATTGGGTGTCCGAAGCGCGCTCTTTGAAAACCGCAGTGTTGTTTGGTTGTGCTAGAGGTCGTGGCAGAAATAATTCTGTTTTCGATGAAGTGATTGGGCGTACTCATCGTCAAATCTGCCCGCCGTTGTTGTGCAGCAATAATGCAGTACCGATTGTTTCCATGACACAGGGCAGAAACTTTACGTGCGAAAGTTTACATCCTGAATTACCACCACCCTCTGTGGCACCCCCTCTTGCGAAGAGTTTCGTCAGAAGTCGCTGACTCGTTCAGACACCAACGAAAACCCGTTACAGCGAGTCACACCCAACGAACAACTCCCCCTCAACCATCCTCCTTCACGGTCAGCCCCGTTCATTTTGGGATTTAGTGAACTGCGACCAACAACAGCCCGCAGCTGACGGAGTCTGACGGCTCTGTCAAAGAACGGAATTATTGGTGTGCTTATGTCCGTCAGCTTTATTGTTCTTCCCCTCCTCCTCTCCCCATCGCCTTCAAACCGTCACAACCAGCCAGCCACACGGTAAAGCTCAAAACAGTTTTCCACCGTGTGAAACCGTCCTGCGCCATGAAGAATATACCGTAAATGTACCACCTGAGCTGAAACACCCCTTCACCTCATACATCTCAACCAACCAGCCAGTCAATCAGGGCGCGTCCCCTCCCTCGATCGATCCTGCCCTCGATCGATCGAGGGACACCTACAGTGTCGCAATTGACAGGGTAACCTAATTTCGAGATGACTTGCGAACGTACAGTAACTGGTGCCCAACGATCTTGTCACCTCCCCTGATGACGATCGATGTGCCTTTGTGGCCACACCGATCTCGGCTTTTGTAGGATCGAGAGTTTTTCCCCCTTGTATTTTCGACCCTGTCACCCTGGGCTCGAGATCGATCCGCGACTGTCACCTCCTACCAATCCCGCACCAATCCTGCGATCGGTGTGCCCGATCGGTTTTTCACGGCGATCTCGCGATCGATCGAGGGAGGGGACGCGCCCTCAGTTTCCCAGTTTTCTTCCAACAAGCTTTCACCTTTCAGGAACGCGTACATAGCCTAGCCTATTTCCTGCCAACTAGGTTCCATCGGCGCAGCTGAGACGCGAACGTCTCTTACTGATTGGATAGAAAACGAGCTGCTTCGTTCCGTGAATAACGAAACGCACGATGCCTCTATTATTCCACTTCTCCAATGGAACGCGGACGTTTGCATTATCGCTGGACCCCTGGCCGAATGGTTGACGGACCGGCAATGAAGGTCCGGGTTTCGCGCTTACCTCACACAAAGCAGCTGAGCGCTGCGTGTTTACTTCCACCCTTCGACGCAAGCCTTCTCATCCGCAAATCGTTTATTACCACCATCAGAGCCACATCCTTTTATCATCAACAGCCTTTCTCTTCCCTAAACATCCCTTTCTAAGAGCTCCTTCTTCTCTTAAGACCGCAAACACTTTGGCGACCGCGAGTTCCTTTCACATCAGTGGTATCGCTGTCTAGGGCTTCTCAGCGACAACTTCAGAAACACCCGCGATGGCTCTCCCCCGTGTTCTCACGTGTCTCCTCATCATCGCCGGTACGACTTCTCATCAACCCATGCATCTCTCCTCAATCGCTGGGATGTTATACCGGCTTATATAAATTTCTATCCCCATCGCCATGCATTTTCAACTACGTCGTATGTCGCTTGTCGATTTAATCATTTTTCATCATTCTGCTGAACTTGCTCTTATCATTTGTCATCATTGTGATGAACTTGCTTTTATCATTTGTACATTATTCTGATGAACTTTCTTTTGTGGTCTGCTGCAGGCGTGCTGCTCTCGTCGTCACTTCCCGGAGCAGAGGCGATAAGCGAGGCGGCGAAGCAGCGCGCCGCGAAAGCGGGCCTCGCGTTCGTCAAGGCCGTCCTCACCATGCTCTTCCCGCCGCCCACGCCTGCCGCCAGTAAGTGCCTCCATCCCTTCCCTATCGCTCTCCTGATTCCTTCGCTCTGCTCACCGTGAATCGTTTTGTCGTAAACCATGAGTCTGAATTTTGTGGTAAATCTTCGTAATGAATCCTATAACGTGAACACCTGGTGTGTCGCGTTTGTGTGAGTTACCGTTATTTGTGTCGCGATATAGCTTCCCCTCATCCCACCCATCCCTCATCCTATCGCCTCCTCCGTTTCTCCATGGTCGATGATTTGCCAATGCAGAGTATTACAGCGCGGACTTTTCGGATTTGAACGTGGCAGGGACGTTCAGCATCGCTGTCCCCTCCAAGTAAGAAATCTGCTCTGCAGTCAGGACCCTAAACCCGGATTTCAGAGTTGGAAGCTGTGTGGTTTGACTTGGGGTCAAGGTTTTCGCCTGACCACTGTGGGCTGTCATGTCCCCCACTCTCAAACCCACTTGCGCTGCGCTAAAATTTTCAGTCTCACTTGGTTTTTTTTTTTCCCAATCTCCCCCAACCCTTGCCAGGTCCGCGACCAAGCTGTCGCAGTTCCGCCTGACCGCTGCAGGCTCGCCCTATCCGCCAATGGAAGTGACTCTCAACGCGAACACTCCCGTCGTGCTGGGTGCGCTTGGGACCAACATGCAGTGCTCCCAAGTTGCGCCGAGCGTGTGGGACTGCTTCGGCCAGACCAAATTTACCCAAGCCAACATCAACAACATCGGGTTCACGGCTGGCGTGGGGGTTCGCGTTGACTCGCATGCGCTCAGTCTGACCTACTCTGACGCGCGCAACATGGGGCTTATGGTCGACTCCAATGCCAACCTCGCGAAAGCCCCTTCGACTTCGAAAATGACGCAAGTGTTTGGTACGTACGTTGCTCGGCCCCACCCTGGTAACCCGGTTTTCTTCGCTGTAGGGAGTTGAGGCCGTGTGCCTCGACTGACAACCCGTGATTGCCCAGTTTACCCTTTTTCGCTCACATAAAATGATTCTCAAGAAGAGCAGTTAACTAACTCTTCTGAACTCGACGTTGTTGCAGGTAAAACCGATCTGCTGGCTGGGGTTGCTGCTGGAAGGTTCCAGGCAGCGATTAACGGCGAGCTCAAAGGAGGAGCGATGTTTGCAGTCTCCAATATGTGAGTCCCTGTTACAGTTGCACCAGAAATGTCTCGATTCCTTATCTCGCATGCCAATCTTCCTTCTCCTAAAATTTCACCATCCACGCACACAGATCTCAACCCCACTGCCTCATTTCGCCGCCCTCCCTTCTCCCTCCTCCTCGCAGCAACCGCAAGTGCAAGCTCGACGTGAGCATCGTGGTCATCTCCCCAGACGCCCCCAAGCCGGCAGCAACAATCTCTGTCACCGACCCTGCTTCAGCCCAAACCACCGACATTCCCCTTTCTTGCGCCTGGTCCCAGCCCCGCCCCGGCGTGTGGCTGTGCGAGTGGCTGGACAACTTCCCGAGCGTGTCGGGTGCTGCTGGCACTGCAGACGCTTCTTACAAGATAGCTGCCAGCATGCGTGCAGCGACCCTTCCAGGCTCGGCGGTGGACTCGGTGTTTAAGCTGACCGTGGAGTCAGAAGCAGGGGACACTGCTGACGGCATGCTGCGCTACGCCCTGTGAATGAAGGGGGTTGAATAAGCTACTGCTGCACCAGAGTACCGTACATGTAGGGGGCTGAGTTAGAGGCAGTGAATAAGTGTAGGGGGCTGACTGCCTCCTCCTTCCTGAAAGAGATTGCACCCTCCCTCCTTCCCCCCCTCTCCGAACACCTCCACTTTTCGCCCCAATACCCCCATTCTCCACTCCCTACCCTTGCTGCATCTATCATCTTTCCTTGTTGGTGTATCTAGACTTACAGTTACCTATGCACTCATTGTTGTAAGATGCCCTTGAATGCAAGTTACTTACGCTTGACAAAATGTTCCAGCTGATAACATACCTACATGAGATGTTATTGTTGAGCGTTAACTCTGCAGGAATGAGGTTGGACTAGCAACAATGAGATACAAGTATGAAACCCTAATTGTGGTTGTACTCTATACTGAGCACCTCACTATAGCCTTGAAGAACTAACAACAACATATAACTATGTTTTGACACACCCCCATAGGCAAAGTGAGGGATAGCCAACACAACAAACGGTCACAACACCAGTCAGGCAAGAGAACAAAGCAATGCAAAACCCATGGTGGATCTCAAGATCATCACGCATTCTGAGCACAAGCAAGCGGCTACAAGGCCAGTTCACATCCTAAACCCCAACCGAGACTGAAGGTGTAACCCTGTGACGACCCAGTGATGCACAAGTAACGCATTACCCTCTTAGCAACTTCCCAATGCACATTTCGGTGTCTACCCGGAGCCACGTAGCGAGCCAGGAGGCTGAGAGGGTATGCGAGGTCAGGTCGTATGCACGTCATCATGTACATGAAGCAACCCACAAGCTCTGGATACGGACCACTCGGCTCTACGGACTCGTCCGAAGGTGGAGCTGAGAGCGAGAGGCCTGTAGGCACAGGAGTGGGCTGTGGTGAGGACCACGAGAAGCCGAAGCGCTGAAGGACCTGGTGCACCATGTGTGACTGAGTCAGGGTGACGGTGCGCCGTGCTCTGTCCCGGGTGATCTGCAAGTCAAGATAGCTCCGCAGCTCACCCAGGTCAGTGCAGGTGTGTCTCTCCTGCAGCTCCGCCTTCACTGGGGCCAGTGCCTCAATGTCAGCAGTAGCAAAAACCAAGTCGTCGACGTACACGAGAACGTAGAACGGCGGCAGAGAAGTGTCGGTGCGTAGAAACAACGACGGGTTATCAGTCGAAGAAGCAAACCCAAGAGCCGCAAGCGTCGTCCTCAGTAAGTCGTGACACTCGCGGGGCGCCTGGCGGAGACCGTAGACCGGCCGCCGGAGGCTCCACTGGGTACCCTCAGGAAACGACCCAGTGAAGCCGGGTGGGCGGCGAAGCCAGATCTCCTCGTGAAGGCTGCCCTGCAAGAAAGATGTAGAGAAGTCGAGGGAGTGCAGCTCGTAGTCACGCTGTGCTGCAACGTGCAGTAACACCCGAAGAGTGGTCATCTTTGGGGTGGGGGAGAAGGTCTGGAAGAAGTCGACCCCCTGTCGCTGACTGAAGCCTCGAGCAACGTAACGCGCCTTGAAGGCAGGTGGAGAACCCGACGGCCGCGAAACACTCGAGCTCAAACTGCATGTCCTCAAGGACGTCACAGCCAAGGGCAAGCTCACCCCTGACGGAGGGTGGACAGACAGACTCAGACTCAGTAACAAGACTCGCGACGTAGTCGAGACGACGGGTAGCAACAAATTCGACTAGCTCAGTGACTAGGGAAAACGCAGCTGTAGACTCAAAGGAAGGGTCAGTGACAACACTGGCGAGGAGACGAGTGACAGTAGGACTAGCAGCACGAGCAAGGTTGGACTCAGGGTCAGGAACGTCAGGAAGAGAGGACTCCGAAGGAGACGGCAGAGCAACACGCTGTGGAACAGAGGAAGGACGAAGTGCCATAGCGTGCGTGCCGGGGACAGGTGGAGGACGAGAACGACGAGCACGAGTGATAGTGCGAACAGGGGAGGCAGGACGAGACTCAGGCTCATGACGGTCTGCCAGGGAGCCTGCCTGCGCAGGGTAGGGAGAAGAAGTAGGCAGTGGAGAGCCAGGCAGTAACTGTGGCTGTGACTGGTCAGGCGGAGGACACACGAGAGGTGGAGTAAGGCCAGTGGAAGACGGAAGACTAAGAACCTGACGAAGTGCTGAGTCAGGCGGTGGTAGGGACGACTGCGGCTGCAGGTAGAAAAACAGTCGGCGCGGCGCAGTACCCGTATCAGCAGCTCCAGCACCTCCAGCACCTTCAGCTCCAGCACCTCCAGTACCTCCAGTACCACCAGCTCCAAAACCTCCAGCACCAGCAGCTCCAGTACCTCCAGCGCCAGCAGCTCCAGTTCTAGCACCTCCAGCACCAGCAGCTCCAGCACCTCCAGCACCAGCAGCTCCAGTACCTCGAGCACCTCCAGCTCTAGCACCTCCAGCACCAGCAGCTCCAGTACCTCCAGCACCTCCAGCTCTAGCACCTCCAGCACCAGCAGCTCCAGTACCTCCAGCACCTCCAGCTCTAGCACCTCCAGCACCAGCAGCTCCAGCACCTCCAACACCTCCAGCTCTAGCACCTCCAGTACCAGCAGCTCCAGTACCTCCAGCTCTAGCACCTCCAGCACCAGCAGCTCCAGTACCTCTAGCACCAGCAGCTCCAGTACCTCCAGCACCTCCAGCTCTAGCACCTCCAGTACCAGCAGCTCCAGTACCTCCAGCACCTCCAGCTCTAGCACCTCCAACACCAGTACTCCAAGCTTCAAGAACCCGGCCCCGCCGAACAACCCAGTCGCAAAGCTGCTGCGGCGAGAGGGTCTCCTGTCGACAAGACCCCCAGGCTCAGCACCCCTAGAGTCAGCAACCCCAGGTTCAGCACCTCCAGAGTCCGCAACCCCAGTGTCACCACCCCTAGCAGCACCAGAGTCAACAACGACAGGCTGCGGAGGCGGCGAATACGGCCGAGGCGGAAAACTAGGAGGGGTCTCCAAGCGCGGGGAGCAGTTAGTGGCCGCCGTGTCGTCAGCAGCGGGGTCACCCCCCTCAGCTGGGTCAGAGGTGTCAGAGGAGACCTCCAAAGCCTCAACCAAGGGGGGTGGGTCGACCTGAGACACATGTGAGGGAGCAGGACCCTGTGGGGGTAGGGGATCTACCGGGGGGGGACCTATGACCAGGAAGAGGGGCGGCGGGGAGAGTGGGGAAGACGTGCGCAGGTGGAGACGGAAGAAGCAGACCGACTCGTCAAAGGTGGCGTCCTGTGAGGACAGGACGCGGCACGAGGCAGGGTGGTAAAACTGCCAGGGCGGGGCGTCAGTGGGGAAGCCAAGGAAGACACAGCGGAGAGTGCGAGGAGAGAGCTTGCCCGCGGTGGTATCGCGGACAAGGGAGAGCGCGCCTGAGACCCGAAACGCCAAAGCATCGCCAACCTCCCCCGTCCAACGCAGTGTAGGCGAGGTCTCTGGTACTGAGACACGGGGCCAGAGGTTGAGCTGATGCGCGGCGTATCGGACCGCAAACGGCCACAGAAAATGGGGAGCAGGCTTATGGATCATGGAGGCGCGATCAACCTCTATGACCGAGCCAATGCGATGCTCAGCAATCCCATTCTGCTGTGGAGAGGCCGGAAGCGTGAACGACTGGACGATGCCCTCCGCACGACAAAAGTCCTGAAGGAGGCCGGAGGAAAACTCGCCGCCTCTGCCAGAGTGCAGTCGCAGGACCTGGAGGTCCTGCTCAAACCGCGCGCTCAGCTGGCGACGAACAGCGATGATCCAGTCGATCAAAACACCGCGGACATCCGCCTCGCTCCGCAAGGGGAAGACCGTGGTGTAGCGCGTGTAGTCGTCAACAACCAGCAGAAAGTAGCGCTCCTGGTCCTGTCCTCGGACGCGGGCTGGGCCCCACACGTCCATGTGGAGAGTCTGCAGAGGAGCACTGGTCGGCGGAAACAAGGAGTGAGAAATGGCGCGCTGTCGCCCCTCAACGCAGGGAAGGCACGGCGGTGCAAGCGAGCGCGGGAGCGAGGCCAGGGACCTGAGGAGGCCAGAGACAAGGAGACGCGCGTGCATGCCACGCAGGCGCGGCAGGGAGGGGTGACCAAGACGGTGGTGCTAGAGGAGAGTCTGGTGCGTGAGAAGCCGACATGAGGAAGACGTAGCTAACTGACCCGACGCAGACACCTGACCTGACGCAGCCACCTGTGCAGACGCAGTAGTCAGTGTGTACAGGCCAGACCCAGGAATCCGTGTGAACGTGGCGAGGTGCTCGCCAGTGCGTGAGTCTGTACAGATCGCCACAAGCTCACCCCCAGGAGTAGTCACAGTGAGAAACTGGTCCTGGAGGAAAGCGTTACTCACCAAGTTCTTAGAGAACGAGGGGAGGTGGAAACCTGTGAGGGAGCCTGAGGGGGCTGCCGGACACGGGAGAACCGTGGAGGCATGTGCTACGACTGGGCCCCCAGAGGGGTTAGCCAGAGAGACCGGGACAGGTGCAGTGAGCGGTGTGACTGTGGTGCAGTCGCGGAAGAAGCAGCGAGTCGCGCCTGAGTCAAGCGTGAAGGTGTGCAAAGCCTCCACAGAAGTTGCACCTGTGCTACCAGGCTCACAGTCACCTAGACTAGTAGCCTCTGCACTACCAGGGACGCGTCGATGAGAATCCCACTCTCGAAGCTGCTGCGGCGAGAGGGTCTCCTACTGACGCTGCTGTTGCTGCTGTCTAGTACCTGCAGCACCATAACCTCTACCACCAGGACGGCCTCGCTGAATAACCCACTCACGAAGCTGCTGTGGCGAGAGAGTCTCCTGGCGACGAGACTGCCGCTGCTGTCCAATACCTACAGCACCATAACCTCCACCACCAGGACGGCCTCGCTGAATAACCCACTCACAAAGCTGCTGTGGCGAGAGAGTCTCCTGGCGACGAGACGGCCGCTGCTGTCCAGTACCTCTAGCACCATAACCTCCACCACCATGACTGCCTCGCCGAATAACCCACTCGCGAAGCTGCTGCTGCGATAGAGTCTCCAGCTGACGCTGCTGCTGTTGTCCACCGCCAGACGCTGCTACGACCGTGATAGTGGCCATGACAGGCAGTGGCAGTCAGCAGCAGCGGCGCAAGGGCGTCAGAAGCGACTGCTGTAGCTGCAGCTGTAGCAGTAGCGGTAGTCGCTGTAATGGCAGGGCAGCGCACGGGCTGCAGGGCAGGGCAGCGCGCGGGCTGCAGGGCAGGGCGGCGCGTGGGCTGCAGGGCAGTGCGGCGCGCGGGCTGTAGGGCAGGGCGTCGCGCGCAGGGCAGCGCGCGGGCTGCAGAGCGTGCGGGCAGCAGAGTAGGGCAGCGCGCGGGCTGCAGGGCAGGGCGGCGCGCGGGCTGCAGGATAGGGCAGGGCGGCGCGCGGGCTGCAGGGCAGGGTGGCGCACGGGCTGCAGGGCAGGACGGCGCGCGGGCTGCAGGGCAGGGCGGCACGCGAGCTGCAGGGCAGGGCCGCGCGCGGGCTGCAGGGCAGTGCGGTGCGCGGGCTGCAGGGCAGGGCGGCGCGCGGGCTGCAGGGCAGGGCAGCGCGCGGGCTGCAGGGCGTGCGGGCAGCAGAGTAGGGCAGCGCGCGGGCTGCAGGGCAGGGCGGCGCGCGGGCTGCAGGATAGGGCAGGGCGGCGCGCGGGCTGCAGGGCAGGGTGGCGCGCAGGCTGCAGGGCAGGACGGCGCGCGAGCTGCAGGGCAGGGCGGCGCGCGGGCCGCAGGGCAGGGCGACGCGCGGGCTGCAGGGCAGGGTGGCGCGCAGACCGCAGGGCAGTGCGGTGCGCGGGCCACAGGGAAGTGCGGCGCGCGGGCTGCAGGGCAGGGCGGCGCGCAAGCTGCAGGGCAGGGCAGCGCGCGGGCTGCAGGGCGTGCGGGCAGCAGAGTAGGGCAGCGCGCGGGCTGCAGGGCAGGGCGGCGCGCGGGCTGCAGGATAGGGCAGGGCGGCGCGCGGGCTGCAGGGCAGGGTGGCGCGCGGGCTGCAGGGCTGGACGGCGTGCAAGCTGCAAGGCAGGGCGGCGCGCGGGCCGCAGGGCAGGGCGACGCGCGGGCTGCAGGGCAGGGCGGCGCGCGGGCCGCAGGGCAGTGCGGCGCGCGGGCCACAGGGCAGTGCGGCGCGCGGGCTGCAGGTCAGGGCGGCGCGCGAGCTGCACGGCAGGGCGGCGCGCGGGCCGCAGGGCAGGGCGGCGCGCGAGCTGCATGGCAGGGTGGCGCGCAGGCCGCAGGGCAAGGCGACGCGCGGGCTGCAGGGAAGAACGGCGCGCGGGCTGCAGGGCAGGGCAGCGCGCGGGCTGCAGGGCAGGGCGGCGCGCGGGCTGCAGGGCAGGGCGGCGCACAGGCTGCAGTGCAGGGCAGCGTGCAGGCAGAGCGCAGGGCAGGGTAGAGTGCGAGCAGGGCAGCGTGCGGGTCGCGCGCTAGGCAGCAAGCAGGCAGCGTGAAGGGCAGGGCAGAGCGCGTGGGGCAGCGCAGGCAGGGCAGCATGAGGAACGCTGTTCGGGCAGGGCAGTACGGGCAGTTCGGGCAGGTCTAAAATAGCGGTGGGCCCTAATGGAGCGGTCCTACGGAGGATAGACCCGCTCTGAATACCATGTCAGAAATAGTATGTGGGAATGATGGACTAGGTAGCAAGGATGAGTACAGGTACAACCTTCTCGATACCCTCCTTGCCTAGGCTCCTAAGCCTAGGCATCCTAAATCTAAATTACTCCTGATTTGACATGATATCAGAGCTGTAATCGATCCAGGCCGCCCCCTTTGTTTAAAATCCATGGCGCCCCTGCTGGCGTGCACGCAGCTTCTGGCGCATGAGTGCATTTGCTGGCGCGCGAGTGATGCAGCAGCTACGCGATCGCCGCTGCTGGCGCGCGAGCCAGCAGCGACTGCGCTCGTCGCCTGTTCCGTCGCGCTGGCTCGACGCTCGGCCTCATCGCCTGCTTCGTCCCGCTCGTCGCGACCCTCGGGGTGAACCCCCCCCCGTTAAGGCCCCCCTGTAACGCCCGCAGCTGCTGTACCCGTGCCTCCTCCCTGCCGCGGCTCCTGCTGTGTGGGGGGGGGGGGGGGGGGGGTGGGTTGAGGGGGTGGCGGGGGTGTCCAGCCAACCGCCACCAGCTGCCTCTCCTTTTTTATTCCTGTCCTTTCTCCTCTCTCGTCTTGGTTTCCAGCCGCATCTTCCTCCGTTACTTTTCTCCTCTAGCCGTCTCCGTCGTTGTGGGGGGGGGGGGGGGTTTGGGGGAGGGGGGGGAAGAGGCTAGAGAGGGGAGGGGGTGGGGCGCCGTGAAGCCTGCAGCTCCAGCCGCCAGTGAGACGGTGCTCCAGTCGCTCGTGGGTCCGTTGCTCTAGTCGTACGAGTGGGATGCTCTAGGCGTACGAGTCAGTCACTCCAGTGCCAGCGAGCCAGTGCTCCAGTAGCCCGTGGGCTAGCAGCTTCAGCCGTCGCCCACCACCTCTCTTTCTCCTCCTCCTCCTCACTTCCCTTCCCCTTCTTCCGCTGCGCTCTCTGCCCTTGGGGTACCCCTTCATGTCAAACATATATGCTATAGCTTGTTTAGGCTGTAGTGGGGTAGTCAACATGGGGTACAACACTTTAGGGTTTCACTACTTGTACCCAACTTCCTGCTAATGCAATCACTTATTGTTTCTAGATTCTGACATGGTTTCAGAGCAGGTCCTCCGTTAGGACCGGTTTTCTTAGGGCCCACCACACTGTCACTGCTGACTGCCCCTGACTGCCCTCGCGCCCTCGTGCGCACTGTCCTGCCCGCACCCTCGTGCGCTCTGCTTTGCTCGCGCCCTCGAGCGCCACCCTGAATAGCGCGCTGCAGCCGATCGCGCGCCGCCCGTTAGATGCGCACGCAGCCCAGCGCGGCCCCGTGCAGCTCCGCGCGCCGCCCGCTAGCCGCCCACGCCGCCCGCTAGCAGCCCGCGCGGCCCCGTGCAGCTTCGCGCGCAGCCCGCACGCCGCATGCGCAGCCCGCACGCCGCACGCGCAGCCCGCAAGCCGCCCGCGCAGCCCGCTAGTCGCCCACGCGGCCCCGTGCAGCTTCGCGCGCAGCCCGCTTGCCGCACGCACGCCGTCGTGCAGCCCCGCGCGCAGTCCGCAGGCCGCCCGCGCTAGTCGCAAAGCAGCCCGCGCGCGCCCGCAAGCTGCCCGCGCGCAGCCCGCAAGCAGCCCGCGTGCGCCCTGCCTGCTCGCATCGCGCCGCCCTGCCCGAGACGCGCAGCCCCAGCCGAGCCGCGCCGCCCAGCCGAGCCACGCCGCCCTGCCCGAGCCGCGCCGCCCTGCTCGAGTCGCGCCGCCCTGCCCTATCGAGCTGCGCTGTTACTACTGTTGCTACTGCTTCTACTGCTGTTACTACTGCTACTGCTGCTACTGCTGCTACTGCCAGTATGGCCAACCCCACCGTTCTCGCGTTCGAGACTGAGGGCCGCCCGATCCAGTTTGATGCCTGGCTCGACGATCTGCACCTGTTCCTACATATTACAGCCAAGGACGATATCTCACTGTTCGATCATACGTCTGGAGCCTCCCTCGCACCTGCTGAGACCGCTGACAACTCGATTCGCTCACAGTGGCAGACCCGTGACGCTCACGCTCGCCTAGCCGTTCGCAACCACCTGCTGATAGACCAGCGCGCGCACTTTGGCCAGCATAAGACCGCTAAGGCGCTGTACGACGCGGTAGTTGCACGCTACTCCTCCCCTGCCACTGCTGCGATCGGTCGCCTCTCGCTGCCCTATCTTTTCCCCGATCTAGCCACTTTTACCACAGTCGCTGACCTCATCACTCACCTCCGTACTAGTGACACTCGCTACCGCGCTGCCCTTCCTGCCGAGTTCCTAGCCAAGAACCCCCCTCCAATGTACCTCACCCTTTATCACCTCGTCGCTCGTCTCCCTGACTTTCTTCGTCCAGTCAGGGACCACTTCCTCGCTCTCTCCCCCACCGAGCTCACCGTTGACCTGCTTGAGACACAACTGCTTGCAGCTAAGGCTAGCATTAACGCAGTAGGTGCCTCTCGTGGCGAACCCCGCACCCCGTTCTTTGTGGGGTGTTCCCCCTGCCCCCTGCTCCCCTCGTTTGCCTCTGCTGCTGCTGTTGACCTTCTTGGTGCTGAGAAGGCCGGGGCGGCGTCTGCTCCTAGTGGGACGTGCCGCAGCGGCAGGGGCAAGGGGGGCAAGGGTGGCGGAGGTGGCGGCGGGGGAGGTGGTGCTGGAGGTGGCGGAGGCGGTGGGGGTGGTGGCGGCGGTGGGGGTGGTGGCGGGAGTGGGGGGGGGCAGTGGCAGCGGCGGGAGTGGTGGTGGCAGCGGTGGGGGAGGAGGCTGGGGTGGAGGCGGTGGTGGTGGCGGCAGTGGGCGTGGTGGCGGCGGCGGTGGCGGTGGTCGCGGTAGAGCGGCGCAGCGTGGAGGTTCTGGTAGTGACCAGCGCCAGCAGCAGCAGCGTCCCCGCGAGACCCCATCGTCCCAGCAGCTTCGTGAGTGGTACTCTCAGCGTGGGGGGTCTGGGGGTGGGGGTAGCTGCCCGTATGTCATCCGCACTGGTGACCGCGCTGGCCAGACGTGTGGGAGGTTCCACACGCAGCACCGCTGCTTCTCTCGCCTCGACGACGCCTGGCGCGCACGGTTTCCTGACGCCGCTGAGCTCCCTCGCTGGGCTGATCTGCTTAAGAGCAACATTGATATCTTTGCTCTTGACTTTGATGGTATCCTTGGTGCCATGTATGCATTGACTGTTAGTGTTGAGGACGACTGTTACCTGTGTGTTCCGCCCGACCTGGGCATTGAGCCCAGTGAGGCTGCTGCTCTAGGTCCTATTGAGTCGGCTGCCCCAGGTGCTAGTGAGGCTGCTGCTCTAGGTGCTAGTGAGTCTGCTGCTCCAGGTGCTAGTGAGTCTGCGCTGTCTGGTACTGCGCCTGTTGAGGCCCTGCACACCTTCGTTCTTGACTCAGGTGCTTCCCGCTGTTTCTTTCGCGACCGTACTGCCCTCACACCGCTCCCCCGGCCTGTTGCTGTCTCCCTGGCTGACCCCTCTGGGGGCCCGGTCCTTGCGAGTTCCTCCACTGTCCTCCCGTGTCCGGCGGTTCCGTCTAGCTCACTATCGGGTCTCCACCTCCCCTCGTTCTCTACGAACTTGGTGAGTGGCGGTGTCCTCCAGGATGAGTGGGTTTCCCACTGGACTCCTGGAGGGCAGCGTGTGACCCACTGTACGTGTGCGCGGACGGGTCGTCACCTGGCCACGTTCACTCGTCGGCCAGGGTCGAACCTGTACACACTGACCACTGAGTCTCCTCAGGTAGCTGCGTCTGCGTCCGGTCAGTTGCGTCAGGTCGCTGCGTCTGTGTCAGCGTCAGGTCAGCTGTCGGCCCCCTGCTCGTGTCGCGCTTTGTCGCACGAGACCGTCCTTTGGAACCACCGCCTTGGGCACCCCTCGGTGCAGCGCCTTCGTGGCATGCACCGCCGTGTCCTTGTCTCTGGTCTTCCCAGGGTACTCCCTCCCCTCCCACCCTCGCCTGCTCCTCCCTGTCTTCCCTGTGTCGAGGGGCAGCAGCGCGCCGCTCCTCACTCCTCCTCGTTTCCCCCGACGACTACTCCCCTGCAGACCCTCCACATGGACGTGTGGGGCCCAGCCCGCATCCGTGGACAGGGTCACGAGAGGTACTTCTTGATAGTTGTTGACGACTACTCGCGCTACACCACGGTCTTCCCCTTGCGCACCAAGGGTGAAGTCCCTGATGTTTTGATCCCTTGGATCCGCGCTGCTCGTCTCCAGCTCAGCGAGAGGTTCCACTCGGACTTTCCTGTCCTGCGTCTGCACTCTGACAGAGGTGGGGAGTTTTCCTCCGACCTCTTGAGGGACTTTTGTCGTGGGGAGGGCATTGAGCAGTCGTTCACGCTTCCGGCCTCTCCACAGCAGAATGGGGTTGCTGAGCGCCGCATTGGCTTGGTCATGGAGGTCGCTCGTACCTCCTTGATCCATGCGGCTGCCCCCCACTTTCTGTGGCCGTTTGCGGTCCGATACGCTGCGCATCAGCTCAACCTCTGGCCCCGTGTCTCCGTTCCGGAGACTTCGCCGACACTGTGTTGGACGGGAGAGGTTGGCGATGCGTCGGTGTTCCGGGTCTGGGGATCTCGTGCCTTTGTTCGCGATACGTACGCGGACAAGCTCTCCGCCCGCGCTGTTCCCTGTGTCTTCCTTGGCTTTCCTCCGGACGCGCCTGGCTGGTAGTTTTACCACCCCACCTCGCGCCGTGTCCTGCCCTCTCAGGACGTCACCTTTGACGAGTCTGTTCCCTTTTACCGTCTCTTCCCCTACCGCACAGCCCCGCTCCCTCCCCCGCCCCTCTTCCTCGTACCAGGTCCTCCTCCGGTAGACCCCCTCCCCCCTCAGGGTCCTGCTCCTTCAGGTGTGTCTCAGGTAGACCCGGTCGAGCCTGTCGAGGTAGCTGTCGACTCTGGTCCTGCTAGGGGTGCTGCGCCTGGGAGTGCTGAGCCTGCGGGTGGGGGGCCTGGGGGTGTTGAGCCTGAGGGTGCTGAGCCTGGGGGTGCTGAGTCTGGGGGTGCTGAGCCTGGGGGTGCGGAGCCTGCGGGTGAGGAGTCTGGGGGTGCTGAGCCTGCGAGTACAGAGCCTGGGGTTGCTGAGCCTAGAGTTGGTGCTTCTGCGGGTGTTCGTTCACGCCGGGAGCTCACTCCACTGCAGCTGCGTGAGTGGTACTCCTGGCGCTCCCGCCTTCGTAGTGGTGCTGTTGGTACTGCCCCTGGGAGTGCTGGGCCTGCGGCAGCGGAGCCTGGGAGTGCTGAGACTGCGCGTACGGAGCCTCGAGGTGCCTCGCTGAGGCGGTCCTCCGCGAGGGAGCTTCCCTCTCCCCAGAAGCTCCGCGAGTGATACGCTCGTCTCACCCCCCTTCGGAGTGGTTCTGCCGGAGCTGGAGACCCTGCCCCTGGAGGTGCTGAGACTGCTGGGACTGAGGGTGCTGTTGCGACTGGTGGTGCTGAGGCTGGAGGTGGCGGAGGTACTACTGCTGCTGGAGGTGCTGGAGCTGCCGGAGCTGAGGGTGCTGCTGTGACTGGTGGTGCTGAGGCTGGAGGTGGCGGAGGTACTACTGCTGCTGGAGGTGCTGGAGCTGCCGGAGCTTAGGGTGCTGCTGCGACTGGTGGTGCTGAGGCTGGAGGTGGCGGAGGTACTACTGCTACTGGAGGTGCTGGAGCTGCCGGAGCTGAGGGTGCTGCTGCGACTGGCGGTGCTGAGGCTGGAGGTGGCGGAGGTGCTACTGTTGCTGGAGGTACTGGAGCTGACGGAGCTGAGGGTGCTACTACGACTGGTGGTGCTGTGGCTGGAGGTGACGGAGGTGCTGCTGCTACTGGAGGTGCTGGAGCTGCTGACGGTGTTGGAGCTGTCGGAGCTGGTGCTGGGGGCTCGGTGCGGCCACGGCCGTACTACGGTCCTCTACTTCGCCAGGTTCTTGGTCTTCCGCCAGCTACTGCCCCTGCTCCTTTCTCTTCCACTGAGCAGCCAGACTCACTTACAAAGCGTCGTGAGTCTGTGTCTCGTCCTGTCTCGCCTGTTCGCGCTGCTCGCACTGGTCGCCGTGTTCCTCGTCCGCGTCCTGACCCTGTCCCTGGCACGCACTATATGACACTCCGTCCTTCCTCTGTTCCACTGCGCGTCCCCCTGCCGTCTCCTCCTACGTCCTCTCTTCCTGACGTCGCTGACCCGCCGTCAGACCTTGCTCGTGCTGCCAGTCCTACAGTCACGCGTCTTCTCGCCACTGTTGTCACTGACCCTTCGTTTGCGTCCACTGCTGCGTCTGCCCTTGTTGCTGAGCTTGTTGACTTTGCTGCCGCCTGTCATCTAGACTACGCCGCTAGTCTTGTTGCTGAGTATGCGTCTGAGTCTGTCTGTCCTCCGTCCGTCGGGGGTGAGTGTGCTCTTGGCACGGACGTCCTTGAGGACAGAAAGGAGGACGTTGAGTGCTTTGCCGCTGCTCTACCTCATCTCGTGTCCATGCTGCTTGTCCCTGAGGGAGACCCAGATGCACCAGACATCCCGACCCCGCGCTCTTACGCAGAGGCGATAGAGGGTCCCTACTCCTCTCAGTGGCAGACAGCCATGGACGCAGAGATGGCTTTTTGGAAGTCCACAGGCACCTACGTCGACGAGGTTCCCCCACCTGGGGCGAACATCGTCAGTGGCATGTGGATTTTCGGGGTGAAGCGGCCGCCGGGTTCTCCGCCTGTCTTCAAGGCGCGTTACGTTGCACGAGGCTTCAGTCAGCGACAGGGAGTTGACTTCTTCTAGACCTTCTCCCCTACCCCGAAGATGACCACTCTTCGGGTTCTGCTGCACGTTGCCGCTAAGCGTGACTACGAGCTTCACTCTCTTGACTTCATCACTGCTTTCCTACAGGGCAGCCTGCACGAGGAGATCTGGCTGCGCCGCCCACCTGGCTTCACTGGGTCGTTTCCTGCTGGTACCCAGTGGAGCCTCCGGCGGCCAGTCTACGGTCTCTGCCAGGCACCCCATGAGTGGCACGACACACTGAGGGCGACTCTTGCTGCTCTTGGGTTTGCTCCTTCTACTGCTGACCCGTCGCTGTTTCTACGCACCGACACCACTCTGCCGCCGTTCTACGTTCTCGTGTACGTAGACGACTTGGTCTGTGCTACTTCTGACACTGAGGGACTCGCCCACGTGAAGTCGGAGCTGCAGAAGAGACACACGTGCACAGACCTGGGTGAGCTGACAAGCTATCTTGGCTTGCGGATCACCCGGGACAGAGCACAGTGCACCATTACCTTGACTCAGTCACACATGGTGCAGCAGGTCCTTCAGCGCTTCGGCTTCACGTACTCCTCGGCACAGTCCACTCCTCTGCCTACCGGTCACTCGCTCTCAGCTCCACCTTCGGATGAGTCCGTAGAGCCGAGTGGCCCGTATCCAGAGCTTGTGGGCTGCCTCATGTACCTGATGACCTGCACTCGACCTGACCTTGCCTATCCTCTTAGCATTCTAGCACACTATGTCGCTCCTGGCAGACACAGGAAGGAGCACATGGATGCCGCTAAGAGGGTGTTGCGCTACTTGTGCAGTACGTCGGGCATGGGGCTCGTGCTTGGAGGACGAGCTCGAGTTGTCCTCACTGGTCACGCAGACGCTTCCTGGGCTGACGACTTGGCTACACAGCGGTCGTCACAGGGTTACACCTTCAGTCTTGGCTCCGGCTCTGTTTCTTGGCGGTCTACCCGCTCGTCTTCTGTTCTCAGCTCCATTTGTGAGGCTGGGATCTACGCTGGGGCCATGGCTGCACAGGAGTTACGCTGGCTCACCTACCTACTGACCGACCTGGGAGAGCCGCCTCGTTCTCCTCCAGTGCTGTACGTCGACAACAAGGCCATGATTGCCTTGTGTCAGGAGCACAGACTGGAGCACAGAACGAAGCACATTGCTCTGCGTTACTTCCTTGCTCGAGATTTGCAGCAGCGTGGTCAGCTTCGTCTTGCGTGCGTGGCCACTTGGGCCAACACTGCTGATGTCTTCACCAAGGCACTTCAGCCTTGTGATCATCAGCGTTTCTGTACTGTTCTACGCCTTGTGCCTACTATGCCTCACTTGCTTACTTCTTGACTTTGCTTGTACTGTGATCCTTATATATGTATACCTGCATGTTTACACTTGCTAGGTTCTGATCACTGTACTAGTTGTATTATAAAACTGCATGTGAACTGGTCTTGTGGCCGCTTGCTTGTGCTCGGAATTTGTGTGGTGTCCTTGAGATCCACCCTGAGCTTGCTTTGCTTTTCTTGACTGGTCTTGTGACCTCTTGTTCTCCCCCACTTTGCCTATGGGGGTGTGTCAAACATATATGCTATAGCTTGTTTAGGCTGTATTGGGGTAGTCAACATGGGGTACAACACTTTAGGGTTTCACTACTTGTACCCAACTTCCTCCTAATGCGATCACTTCTTGTTTCTAGATTCTGACACTTCAGGGGGTGTTGCTGCACAAGGTTCTTCACTGCAGGCAGTTAGGGGGTGTGTTATAATATTTTCTTTATAATTGTTTGCAGTGTAGACTGTAATGTTATCTCACTTGATGTAGGTGGTACACCATGTGGCTTTGTTGTTTTCCTATTTGTACCTTCAATCCTATACTGACCCCCCTC